ATCTCAATTATTGGTCTGGGAAATTTTCTCATCAGTAAAATTGATCAGTAATGTCTTCCTCCAGGTCATATCCCGAAAAGATCTTTGTTTACCTCCAACCTCCAAACATTTTCTGTATGTCATTGAAACTTTGTACGTGTCATCCTTGGGGCAGGGCAACCAAGAAACGTTATGGTGACCTCTGTGTAAGGGGAAGGGCAACCAAGAAACGTTGTGGTCACCTCTGTATAAGGGGCAGGGCAAGTAAGAAACGTTGTGGTGACCTCTGTATAAGGGGCAGGGCAAGCAAGAAACGTTGTGGTGACCTCTGTATAAGGGGCAGGGCAACCAAGAAATGTTGTGGTCACCTCTGTATAAGGGGCAGGGCAAGCAAGAAACGTGGTGACCTCTGTATAAGGGGCAGGGCAAGCAAGAAACGTTGTGGTGACCTCTGTATAAGGGGCAGGGCAACCAAGAAACGTTGTGGTGACCTCTGTGTAAGGGGAAGGGCTCAATGAAGGTTTGCACTGTCACTAAACTGCCTGAGTCTGCAGATACTTATATAACATTATGCTTGTATTGTTATATTGTTTGAATAATTATGTATGACGAGTGATGACAATCTCATATGAGTACACTGTTTCTGTTGTTACATTCTATTCCATCTAATGGTCAACATAATGTTTGGTATCCATACTGGATAGCCCTAAGGAATGTTCTTGAAATACTTATTACCCCCCGCCACGAAGTGACGTTACATGAATGAAATTTTGCATGCTTTATATAAGAGTTATGGAGTTATAATCCTTGCTCTTAGGTTGTCCCCATTGCAGACAGGATGCACTTTCTCAGAAAGTACTACCGTTACGTAAATGAAACTTTGGATGCTTATCTATAAGATGCTTGGCAATATGAAGTTCGAAATTTGATGGTCCCGTAAATTATTTTTTAATAATATAGTACCATGGCACTATTTTCTGCTTTGAGGTAGCTGTGGGCATTTAATTAGGCATGTATTTCACCAGACCAAAACCATACGGGAAATATGTGTACCATACGGTAATGATTTCTGGGACCTTCTAGAAATAACAGTGAAGCTTTGTTTTTTGCTCACAAACTCTTTCCTAGTTAAGGGAGTGTTTATTTGAATCTGAAATTTGATGTTGTCGTTATTGGCAATCTCATTAAAATGAGATTAAAATTAGTTCTTGCGATTGCAAAACAAAGATCTGAGGACATCCCATTTCGAGTCACATCTGAACGACCTTTTGGGAACTTTGACAGACCAATGAAATGACAAACAAGAAGTCAACATTAACCACTCAGAAAGCAGCTTTCTAGAGCTATACAGCACTAGTTGCAAACCGGCAACTTCCATTCCAGATTACGCTTTGAAAATAAGTTGTTGATTGAAAATTTCAAAACTGAACAATAGACATTCTTGAATGGTCGAGATTGTTATGACAGTACTTCCCAAGGGCTATGCAAGGTCTCCTCCATTCAAATGTTTATCCCACCGAAGCAAGAGATACATGATGAGTTTTGACAAAATCATTCATACAGCCCATTACTGTCGTTCGGAATACCCAATGTTAACCATTTCAAGGTTGCATGATGAAAAAGCACATTTCATCTGCCAGTTTCCTGAACTGGTAAAAGACACTCTGGTTGGTCAGATGAAAGGTCACTCTGACATGACCCGTAATATCCTTAGATCTAATGGGATGTCCTCAGATCTTTGTTTAGCGGTAGTGAGAACTAAGATCTGATTTTAATGCTGTTAGGTAATTGTTTTTTCAACTAATGGCAAATATTAGATCAGTCATACCTGATATTGATCCAATATACCCCCGGGAAATTTTTCTGACATATGACTGGATGACATTGAAGGTGACTGTGACTGCTGTAGATGTAGCTTTTGTCAATAACCTGTGACTGCTGTAGATGTAGCCTTAGTCAATAACCCATGACTGTTGTAGATGTAGCCTTAGTCAATAACCCATGACTGCTGTAGATGTAGCCTTTGTCAATAACCTGTGACTGCTGTAGATGTAGCCTTAGTCAATAACCCATGACTGTTGTAGATGTAGCCTTAGTCAATAACCCATGACTGTTGTAGATGTAGCCTTAGTCAATAACCTGTGACTGCTGTAGATGTAGCCTTAGTCAATAACCCATGACTGTTGTAGATGTAGCCTTAGTCAATAACCCATGACTGTTGTAGATGTAACCTTAGTCAATAACCCATGACTGTTGTAGATGTAGCCTTAGTCAATAACCTGTGACTGTTGTAGATTTAGCCTTAGTCAATAACCTGTGACTGCTGTAGATGTAGCCTTAGTCAATAACCCATGACTGTTGTAGATGTAGCCTTAGTCAATAACCCATGACTGTTGTAGATGTAACCTTAGTCAATAACCCATGACTGTTGTAGATGTAGCCTTAGTCAATAACCTGTGACTGTTGTAGATTTAGCCTTAGTCAATAACCTGTGACTGCTGTAGATGTAGCCTTAGTCAATAACCCATGACTGTTGTAGATGTAGCCTTAGTCAATAACCCATGACTGTTGTAGATGTAGCCTTAGTCAATAACCCATGACTGTTGTAGATGTAGCCTTAGTCAATAACCCATGACTGTTGTAGATGTAGCCTTAGTCAATAACCCGTGACTGTTGTAGATGTAGCCTTAGTCAATAACCTGTGACTGTTGTAGATGTAGCCTTAGTCAATAACCCATGACTGCTGTAGATGTAGCCTTAGTCAATAACCCATGACTGTTGTAGATGTAGCCTTAGTCAATAACCCATGACTGCTGTAGATGTAGCCTTAGTCAATAACCCATGACTGCTGTAGATGTAGCCTTAGTCAATAACCCATGACTGTTGTAGATGTAGCCTTAGTCAATAACCCATGACTGCTGTAGATGTAGCCTTAGTCAATAACCCATGACTGCTGTAGATGTAGCCTTAGTCAATAACCCATGACTGTTGTAGATGTAGCCTTAGTCAATAACCTGTGACTGCTGTAGATGTAGCCTTAGTCAATAACCCATGACTGTTGTAGATGTAGCCTTAGTCAATAACCCATGACTGCTGTAGATGTAGCCTTAGTCAATAACCCATGACTGCTGTAGATGTAGCCTTAGTCAATAACCCATGACTGTTGTAGATGTAGCCTTAGTCAATAACCAATGACTGCTGTAGATGTAGCCTTAGTCAATAACCCATGACTGCTGTAGATGTAGCCTTAGTCAATAACCTGTGACTGCTGTAGATGTAGCCTTAGTCAATAACCTGTGACTGCTGTAGATGTAGCCTTAGTCAATAACCCATGACTGTTGTAGATGTAGCCTTAGTCAATAACCCATGACTGTTGTAGATGTAGCCTTAGTCAATAACCCATGACTGTTGTAGATGTAGCCTTAGTCAATAACCCATGACTGCTGTAGATGTAGCCTTAGTCAATAACCCATGACTGTTGTAGATGTAGCCTTAGTCAATAACCCATGACTGTTGTAGATGTAACCTTAGTCAATAACCTGTGACTGCTGTAGATATAGCCTTAGTCAATAACCCATGACTGTTGTAGATGTAGCCTTAGTCAATAACCCATGACTGTTGTAGATGTAGCCTTAGTCAATAACCCATGACTGTTGTAGATGTAGCCTTAGTCAATAACCTGTGACTGCTGTAGATGTAGCCTTAGTCAATAACCCATGACTGCTGTAGATGTAGCCTTAGTCAATAACCCATGACTGTTGTAGATGTAGCCTTAGTCAATAACCCATGACTGTTGTAGATGTAGCCTTAGTCAATAACCTGTGACTGCTGTAGATGTAGCCTTAGTCAATAACCCATGACTGCTGTAGATGTAGCCTTAGTCAATAACCCATGACTGTTGTAGATGTAGCCTTAGTCAATAACCCATGACTGCTGTAGATGTAGCCTTAGTCAATAACCCATGACTGTTGTAGATGTAGCCTTAGTCAATAACCTGTGACTGCTGTAGATGTAGCCTTAGTCAATAACCCATGACTGCTGTAGATGTAGCCTTAGTCAATAACCTGTGACTGCTGTAGATGTAGCCTTAGTCAATAACCCATGACTGTTGTAGATGTAGCCTTAGTCAATAACCCATGACTGCTGTAGATGTAGCCTTAGTCAATAACCCATGACTGCTGTAGATGTAGCCTTAGTCAATAACCCATGACTGTTGTAGATGTAGCCTTAGTCAATAACCTGTGACTGCTGTAGATGTAGCCTTAGTCAATAACCCATGACTGCTGTAGATGTAGCCTTAGTCAATAACCCATGACTGCTGTAGATGTAGCCTTAGTCAATAACCTGTGACTGTTGTAGATGTAGCCTTAGTCAATAACCTGTGACTGCTGTAGATGTAGCCTTAGTCAATAACCTGTGACTGCTGTAGATGTAGCCTTAGTCAATAACCCATGACTGTTGTAGATGTAGCCTTAGTCAATAACCCATGACTGCTGTAGATGTAGCCTTAGTCAATAACCTGTGACTGCTGTAGATGTAGCCTTAGTCAATAACCTGGGACTGCTGTAGATCATGCCCTCCAAAATAAGCCTTGAATCTTACTTGAATACTTTGCTTGGTATTTTTGTTCAGAACATTTTGCTTTCTCATCCTTGAAATCTTCTTTGAGACAAATGTTGGTTGGTTGGTTTGTTGATACATGCCGCAGTCAGCAATATTCCAGCTATATGACGGCAGTCTGTAAACAATCGAGTCGATCCAGTGATTAATATCATGAGCATCGATTCACGCAATTGGGATCGATGACATGCATCAACCAAGGCAGCGAGCCTGACAACCCGATCCCTCTAGTCGCCTTTTACGACAAGCGTAGTCACCTTTTACGGCAAGCATGGGTTCCTGAAGACCTATTCTACCCCGGAATCTTCAAATGAGGGGACATGGTGCTACGTAGGTGCCCATGATATAAGGTGAAGTGTTACACAAATGTTAATGTAATGTATCTACCCGTTCTGTTTCAGAGTGCCATACATCGTCTAATGCAAAGCTGTACAGATTGATGAATCTGACGAGATAAAAATTGGAACAAATGTGTGAGTGTAATATATCATTCTAAACAATCAGCCTTATGGATTGTACATGTTCTGCTCTGAAGTATAGATTATCATTATCCACAGACAGACTGTTGTCATGGAACTTTGCACAGATGTACCTATTATGACACCGGAGCTACTGCAGCAGGTGGAAGATTTAGATGTTGTTAAGCATGCAGTTACTATTTCCTGTGTTAACTCTCCAGGTAAAAAGTGAACAAAACACTGGTGAAGCCAGGTCGACCTGGTCAATGTGACCTGCTGAGACTGCTGCCTTGGGTGTGATTGCCTAGCACAGCCAGCATCCTGGCCCCAGGCACTGTTTATTCAATCATCTGCTATTCTTGGTGAAGTAGTTATTTCTGGAGTTTTGTCAGATTGTATCCCCTTGTCTTTGTGTTGGTATATTACTAGTTCAGATGCAGTCCTTATTGCTCAGAGGTTTCATCACAGCCAGATTCATCCCACTTTATCTATTTCACTTGATCATGATTGCAGCCACTCTTAGGCAGTTTGGGAGGAGTTAATGCAGCACAGCCTGCCATCTTGTAGCTGGAGTGACAATAAACTAGGTTAGAATTCAAAACAAGTGCCTCCAGTTGATGTGGTGTTAATGTCAGTAAACATTTATCAGTTGCATTGTGAAGATGTAATCCTCCTACAAGGTAGCAATGACGTTGAGTTATTCAATGTACATGGATACAGTTGATACTGGCATGTGCTGAAAAATAGCCAGTCAAGCTGCTTGAGAAGAATGTGCAGAATGGCCCATTAGAAGTCTCCCCTGTCCAGCTAGCTTTCATATGTACACCTGTATGCTTATCTCTAATGTCTTGCCGTGTAACCATGTGAGTGTATGTGTGACTGGGACTTGAACAATAAACTAAAACTAAAGGTTAATGATAATTTATTGTAATGAATTATATGAACCATGCCAATCATATCTCTCACAATGCAGTGACCAGGTTCACCTGACTTATTGATGCATGTATTTGAATCCATTGTGAACTGTGCAGTCATTCAAGTGATGATAATCTTGTCTTACAGTAGCAGATACTGTGACCTAATTAGTAATGTCTGATATACTTCCATTGTTACATGGAATACTACCTGGGGACAACATATTTAAATAAATATCACAAATATATATGTGACAGTTAATTCACTCACAATGTAGGTTACACAATCCTAATACTAACTGATTTGGTGTTTCTCAGGAAGACTGGAATAAATTATGTTTAGCTACTGTAACAGTATAGACTGAGAGGTTCTCCCAATGTTCCAGCTACTGTAACAATATAGACTGAGAGGTTCTCCTAATGTTCCAGCTACTGTAACAGTATAGACTGAGAGGTTCTCCCCTTGTTCCAGCTACTGTAACAGTATAGACTGAGAGGTTCTCCCCTTGTTTTAGCTACTGTAACAGTATAGACTGAGAGGTTCTCCCCTTGTTTTAGCTACTGTAACAGTATAGACTGAGAGGTTCTCCCAATGTTTCAGCTACTGTAACAGTATAGACTGAGAGGTTCTCCCCTTGTTTTAGCTACTGTCACAGTATAGACTGACAGGTTCTCCCCTTGTTCCAGCTACTGTAACAGTATAGACTCAGAGGTTTTCCCCTTGTTCCAGCTACTGTAACAGTATAGACTGAGGTTCTACCCTTGTTCCAGCTACTGTAACAGTATAGACTGAGAGGTTCTCCCCTTGTTCCAGCTACTGTAACAGTATAGACTGAGAGGTTCTCCCCTTGTTCCAGCTTCTGTAACAGTATAGACTGAGAGGTTCTCCCCTTGTTCCAGCTACTGTAACAGTATAGACTGAGAGATTCTCCCCTTGTTCCAGCTACTGTAACAGTATAGACTGAGAGGTTCTCCCAATGTTTCAGCTACTGTAACAGTATAGACTGAGAGGTTCTACCCTTGTTTTAGCTACTCTAACAGTATAGACTGAGAGGTTCTCCCAATGTTTTAGCTACTGTAACAGTATAGACTGAGAAGTTCTACCCTTGTTCCAGCTACTGTAACAGTATAGACTGAGAGGTTCTCCCCTTGTTTTAGCTACTGTAACAGTATAGACTGAGAGGTTCTCCCAATGTTTCAGCTACTGTAACAGTATAGACTGAGGTTCTACCCTTGTTCCAGCTTTTGTAACAGTATAGACTGAGAGGTTCTACCCTTGTTCCAGCTACTGTAACGGTATAGACTGAGAGGTTCTACCCTTGTTCCAGCTACTGTAACAGTATAGACTGAGAGGTTCTACCCTTGTTCCAGCTACTGTAACAGTATAGACGGAGAGGTTCTCCCCTTGTTTTAGCTACTGTAACAGTATAGACTGAGAGGTTCTCCCCTTGTTCCAGCTACTGTAACAGTATAGACTGAGGTTCTCCCCTTGTTCCAGCTACTGTAACAGTATAGACTGAGAGGTTCTACCCTTGTTCCAGCTTCTGTAACAGTAAAGACTGAGAGGTTCTACCCTTGTTCCAGCTACTGTAACAGTATAGACTGAGAGGTTCTCCCCTTGTTCCAGCTACTGTAACGGTATAGACTGAGAGGTTTTCCCCTTGTTCCAGCTACTGTAACAGTATAGACTGAGGTTCTACCCTTGTTCCAGCTACTGTAACAGTATAGACTGAGGGGTTTTCCCCTTGTTCCAGCTACTGTAACAGTATAGACTGAGAGGTTCTCCCCTTGTTCCAGCTACTGTAACAGTATAGACTGAGAGGTTCTCCCCTTGTTCCAGCTACTGTAACAGTATAGACTGAGAGGTTTTCCCCTTGTTCCAGCTACTATTACGGTATAGACTGAGAGGTTCTCCCCTTGTTCCAGCTACTATTACGGTATAGACTGAGAGGTTCTCCCCTTATTTTAGCTACTGTAACAGTATAGACTGAGAGGTTCTCCCCTTATTTTAGCTACTGTAACAGTATAGACTGAGAGGTTCTCCCAATGTTTCAGCTACTGTAACAGTATAGACTGAGAGGTTCTCCCCTTGTTTTAGCTACTGTCACAGTATAGACTGACAGGTTCTCCCCTTGTTCCAGCTACTATTACGGTATAGACTGAGAGGTTCTCCCAATGTTTCAGCTACTGTAACAGTATAGACTGAGAGGTTCTCCCCTTGTTTTAGCTACTGTCACAGTATAGACTGAGAGGTTCTCCCCTTGTTTTAGCTACTGTAACAGTATAGACTGAGAGGTTCTCCCCTTGTTTTAGCTACTGTAACAGTTTAGACTGAGGTTCTCCCCTTGTTTTAGCTACTGTAACAGTATAGACTGAGAGGTTTTCCCCTTGTTCCAGGTACTTTAACAGTATAGACTGAGAGGTTCTCCCCTTGTTTAAGCTACTGTAACAGTATAGACTGAGGTTCTCCCCTTGTTTCAGCTACTGTAACAGTATAGACTGAGAGGTTTTCCCCTTGTTCCAGCTACTTTAACAGTATAGACTGAGAGGTTCTCTACCCTTGTTTTAGCTACTGTAACAGCATAGACTGAGGTTCTACCCTTGTTTTAGCTACTGTAACAGTATAGACTGAGGTTCTACCCTTGTTCCAGCTACTGTAACAGTATAGACTGAGGTTCTACCCTTGTTTCAGCTACTGTAACAGCATAGACTGAGGTTCTTCTCTTGTTTCAGCTACTTAAACAGCATAGACTGAGGTTCTCCCCTTATTTTAGCTACTGTAACAGTATAGACTGAGAGGTTCTCCCCTTATTTTAGCTACTGTAACAGTATAGACTGAGAGGTTCTCCCCTTATTTTAGCTACTGTAACAGTATAGACTGAGAGGTTCTCCCCTTGTTTTAGCTACTATTACGGTATAGACTGAGAGGTTCTCCCCTTATTTTAGCTACTGTAACAGTATAGACTGAGAGGTTCTCCCCTTGTTTTAGCTACTGTAACAGTTTAGACTGAGGTTCTCCCCTTGTTTTAGCTACTGTAACAGTATAGACTGAGAGGTTTTCCCCTTGTTCCAGGTACTTTAACAGTATAGACTGAGGTTCTCCCCTTATTTTAGCTACTAGACTGAGAGGTTCTCCCCTTGTTTTAGCTACTGTAACAATATAGACTGAGGTTCTCCCCTTGTTTTAGCTACTGTAACAGTTTAGACTGAGGTTCTCCCCTTGTTCCAGCTACTGTAACAGTATAGACTGAGAGGTTCTCCCCTTGTTTAAGCTACTGTAACAGTATAGACTGAGGTTCTCCCCTTGTTTCAGCTACTGTAACAGTATAGACTGAGAGGTTTTCCCCTTGTTCCAGCTACTTTAACAGTATAGACTGAGAGGTTTTCTACCCTTGTTTTAGCTACTGTAACAGCATAGACTGAGGTTCTACCCTTGTTTTAGCTACTGTAACAGTATAGACTGAGGTTCTACCCTTGTTCCAGCTACTGTAACAGTATAGACTGAGGTTCTACCCTTGTTTCAGCTACTGTAACAGCATAGACTGAGGTTCTTCTCTTGTTTCAGCTACTGTAACAGCATAGACTGAGGTTCTCCCCTTATTTTAGCTACTGTAACAGTATAGACTGAGAGGTTTTCCCCTTGTTTTAGCTACTGTAACAGTATAGACTGAGGTTCTACCCTTGTTTTAGCTACTGTAACAGTATAGACTGAGGTTCTACCCTTGTTTCAGCTACTGTAACAGCATAGACTGAGGTTCTACCCTTGTTTCAGCTACTGTAACAGCATAGACTGAGGTTCTTCTCTTGTTTCAGCTACTTAAACAGCATAGACTGAGGTTCTCTACCCTTGTTTTAGCTACTGTAACAGCATAGACTGAGGTTCTCTACCCTTGTTTTAGCTACTGTAACAGTATAGACTGAGGTTCTACCCTTGTTTCAGCTACTGTAACAGTATAGACTGAGAGGTTCTGCATTACTCATGAGCTAAACTGGTGCCTTTTGCTATGTTGCTATTTTTCCAAATTTTTGTTTTTACATTCCCATGACAATAATTTGACTTAGTCTCAAACGAGGGTAGGGTTTGTTTCCAGGCCATAACTT